TGTGACGATAAGTGGCATCATTACGCGATCCAGGTGGATTTCCCGCGCGTCAATCTGTACGTGGATGGCGAGGAGTGGCGCGCTGACGAGAAGAATCCCGAAGTCATCGACGATTGGCCTTTACACCCGGCCAAGGGCGTCAACACCACCCTCGTGGTCGGAGCGTGCTGGCAGGGCTCTGAAAATAAGACCAAACATCATTTCCGCGGCTATCTCGCCGGTCTGTCCGTCCTAGTCGGCCGAAACGAAAAACCGGAGGTCCTCTCGTGTCTGCGCCGCTGCCAGGAAGGCATTCACGTGCCACCTATGGACTTGTTGCAACCGGGTACTCAGCTGCTGACCAATTCCGATATGACTGAGGTACGCATCGATGGCGACAATCGCACAAATGTGGAAATCCTGCTGCGTCGTATCGGCTACTCCAACACTCGACGTTTCCCGACGCCCGGCCGCCGTAACTTCCGTCTCGACACAACGATCGTCTGCGAGGGTAGCGAGAACACGCCCCTACCGGTACCAACCGTGCAGTCTTACGTCACCGTTCTACCGCCTCCTCGACCGGGCATCACCGTCAACGGCACCGGCTACGTGGCCCGCGAATATGCAGATTTCCGGCTGGGAGTGCGTGTATTCCCCGATGCGCGTGTCACCGCTGGGTCGGCCGCCCGATTAGACGCTTGCGCTGTCAGCGTTTATCCGAGCCTCAATCCTGATCATGAGAGTCTGGGATTACCCGGCGATGCTCTGCTCGCGTTCCACGATATCTCCGCTCGTGTCGATCGGGATGGCGTTGTTCTCTCGGGCGCAGATTCACCCTACAATTATCAACAGCTCATCCGTCTTATAATGTACACGAATCGCAAGCCGGCTTACTACCTAGATCGCGTTTTCAAGCTTACTTGCTCCGAGTTGAGCGGCCGCTTCGCCAGCAATGAGTACGTGCAAACGTTAGCTGTGATTCATCCTAAAGAGAAGACAACTGTCCTGCCGCATACGACGCCCGGAGAACCGCCTATTGCCAGAATTGTCGAGCCGGCACCGGGTCACGCGCAACTCTCGCCGCATCACGCCGATCTAACGGAAGAATACGCCACAGCCGCGCTTCGTGAAGGCAGCAGAACTATCGGCAGCACTGGCGGCAGTCATGCAGTGACCATCGTCGCCGCCGCTTGCATCGGCTTCCTGCTGCTGATGGCGGTGGTAGGTGCTGCGCGAGTCCGCGGAGCGGCTAAACGACGACGATCCGCCGGTGACGAGCTCGCGGCCGAGACGGAGATGGCCTGGGATGACTCGGCTCTCGCCATTACTGTAAATCCGATGGAAAGGTTGACGGAACACGATCAGCATCATCAGAGCCAGCGGGACGAGGACGCGGACGATTCTGGCAGCTCCGACTCCGAGGATGGCTCGTTCCGGGATGACGACCTCGACAGCTCTGACTGCGAGAACGATTGCGATCTCAGCAACGGCCGGCACCGCCGTCACAATTCGCCGCACGATCTGGAGTGGGATCATCGTGACGTTTAAATCATCCTACTATCTTTACACTGAGCATTCACACATCCCCCTTTTTTCGCGTGACACTGGAGAGGAGTACTGGCCGCGTGCCGCTTTCCGCGCAAAATTGCTCCGTCGTATACCGTTTCTTCTCGCCGCGCGCGCGCGCGCGCGCGCGTGCGATGCTTGTTGAGCATGTCTCGGAAGTATTTCGCAATGAAAATTCTTCGTACAACTATCGGCGGCTTTGCGAATTTAGTTTACTCTCCGCGGGAGTAAAGAGTTTCGGATTATCGTGTACGAATATCGTCAAACGCGACTTGCGTCCGAAAGATCGACTTCTCGAAGTTTTCTCCTTGCGCATCAGATATCACGGGCCCGTCGTTAAGATATCGGAAGATATTTATTACGCTTTCGAATCTTCAGAATATAGAATAATAAGATTTAACGTTCTTAAGCCGCTTCATACACTGCTCGATCTCTAAACGATTATTATCCCTCTTTACTGCGAGAGCGTTATCGTATTATCCGTCCCCTCCGCTCTCCTCTCCCCCTCTCGTAGATAACGTTGGCATAATCAATGAGGTAACGACATAAAACGGCATTCAGTTAGTACTCGTCTTGAGCGCCAGAGAAAACCTGTAAGAGTGCGGGACGCTTTATCGAATAGTTAAAATCTCTTTCTACCTACGAACACACGTGGCTGATGTTTGGTAGAATCGGAGATACACGCAAGAGATACTTAAACTCTCGTCGGAAATTATTCCCGACGGGAATACTTACGGCAGTTATTAATTTATATTCTTGATTCATCATTGGTAGTAATAGGACAAGGGGACTCTTTTTTTTTTATACTCCTAACTATCTTTCCTTCTTTTTACTCTATATACGGTTATCACTATTTTATTATTACTAATCGCCGCGACTATATCCAGCTACTTTATCGAAAGTTGTTTTTATTATTATTATTATTTTTATCATTATTGTAGGCAGGACGGCCCGGTAGCGTAGTTGTAAATGCGTAACGAGTGCTGAGCCGACTCTATATTCTTCCTCGTCTTCGACTAAACTTTCTTATCTAAGGTCTATTTGATCTCATGAATGTAATTCTCTCGCAATAATTGTGTCTTTCGTATTTTGATCAAAAGCGCTCGCGGTACGAGCTGAGGTAAATTAATAAACCGGCGGCGAAACGCGCGTGGTAGATACGAAGATAAGCTGAAAGCTGCTACTCGCTTCGGTGTAGCACGTGAAATCGGGCCTGAGCCTGGGCCATACGATGCTTGCCCAAGTCATTACGCCTTCGATCGTTTTCTTTTCTTTTTTTCTCTCTCTCTCTCTCTGTTTTGCACGATGTTCCTTCCTGATTGATCTGCAGAAGATGAGAAATGAGAAACGATAGTAAGGACATTGCATCTTATGATAGTGCTTCAACATTTAAAGTAATCGATACAGCATCATACCCGTATGTGATGCGTAAACGTGTGCACATAATAAGAAGCGATACACGCTTCGCCGGCCGTTGGTCCGCGAACGCTTGGAGAAACGTGAAATATTCGACGAGGGGAGCGATCTATAAAAGCGAGCAGCGTGCTTCACGCGTTATGTAATTTTCTCTGGTATACATATTCATTTTTAATTAATTGAAATTATTTGACACGTGAAGGATCGGCTTCCAAAGGTGGATCGTTCACCTCCTCGTCCTCGAGGTCGTCTTTGGTTCTCCTATAAGCGTTTAACGAATTTAACGGCAGTTACCGCAGACCGTACGCGGTTTATGTGCGCGCGAGCACACGCACACGTGCTCTACATATACATATATACGGCGTCCATTCATTATTCTGCGGCGAGAGAGTCTCGTCTCGAGTAGCAGACGATTATTCTAAAGTAATGCGCAGCGGCTGGAGCAGCCATCGAGCGTGCTTCTCCCGTTTATCTCCCCGGCTCAAGACGTGTCGTATCGTGCAATCGTTCTTTTCACAGAGAGGAAACTGAATGCTTTTACGTGCCTTTTAAGCAAGTTAGTACGTTGAATTCGTATTGTGTATTTTAATAGCGAATATCACATATTCTTTTTTCTTCGTTCTCTCTTTATTGATATTGCATTGTCATTGACGAGTTCTGGACAGGCTTTTATATTGTTATTGGGAATTTTTCGCGATACGCAGTCTCGAGTACGAGTGATAAATTCGCATCCCGAATGCGGGATTTTAGTTTCCTTATCGCCATCCGAAACTGCGCTGCAGCGGAAAGTTCCGTATTTTAGACATTTTAACATTTACATAACTGTTAGAAGTTAAGAATCGCGTTTGTCGGATGACGTCGCGACGCTTTCCCCAGGCGTCGCCTTCCGGACGACGCGTCGTCATCCGGCGAACTGTCACGGGCCCGGACGCACAATACCTGTCGATGGTCCCGTGCCGGGAAACGCGTCACACACGTGCAATGATCCCGTCGCCGGGTACATTAGCTGTTTCTCCCTCTCTCGTCGAAATGATGACACGACGACTGCGCATCCCCCCTCCCCGTGCATTATCGCCGTAAAATAATGAACGAACGCTCGGGTGTATGTGTGTGCGTGTGCGTCTCTGTGTCTGCGTAAATCTAGAGTTATACCGAATCGTTCGAATCGTTCATTCGCGGAGGCACCACAACAGAGTACCGAAGAAACTCGCGTATATATCTATATTCGTATAGGAAACTATAATGAACAATTTATTTTTCCAACGAGCATATCATATCATTTTTATAAGGGATTCGCCGGAAACGTTTTTTGGGAAGCTTCGCGTCGACGGGCGGTCCGCGATCGCGAATCATCGCGACCTCGCGCTGTCTAGGGATTTCTTTCTCGTTGTTCCGACTCTCGGAGGATG